CCATGTGCAAATCTCCGAAACCACTTTTTCGTGAACAGTGCCTTAGGACTCACATAAAAGCAGAGATCATTCCCTTTCCAGGTTGCGCCTAGCATTTCACTTCCATTCCAATTTGTAGTGAGGTTTTGAATGCATATGTAGCTTTGTACAGTGATTCGTGTGGAAAGCCGTTGTACAAGCCACTACTATTATCTTTACAGACAAGTCTGGTGCCGATTAACCGAGTCCGGAAGGATGGAAGTTTTAGTAAGCATGGGCCAATGTCAATTCGGGACCCGATCAACGGATCGCGAGCATGATAGTGCGCCACCTGCCACTACACCAGACCCGCTACAACAGATACATATTAATCTCATCAAAGAGCTGAAAATTCAAACTGGACTGTTTTTTGCTTGTTTGGTAGAGGTCGTAATTGTGAAAGGTAAAAATAAAGATGAAGGAATTGGGTCGAATAATATTTTCAATTCAGTTTTCTAAATACTATCTCCCTGAGATCATTCAAGCGATATGAGGTTTCTGGGAGCAGAGGTATTGCTCCCCTCCCCTTTCCCATACCCTTCTTAACCTCGGGAAATTCAAAAAAAATATACTTTACAACCAGGATTGTTCGAACCTTTACTTAGAATCGAGTAGAAACTCTCTATGTTGAACTTCTATCAGGAAAGGATCAAAAACATACTTCTCTTCCTTGTTCTCATCCTCACTGGCATTCGGTTTCTCCGCTTGATCGTCCTTCTTCGGCGATGGGGTTTCTTCGTTCGCCTGCGGTGTGTCCTCCTTAGCCTCCGGTATGACTATCTCTTCTTGTTCATCCTTCTTCGGCTCTTGCTTTTCCTCCTTTTTCTCCTCTTTCTTCTCTTCTTCCTTCTTTTCTTCTTTCTCCTCCTTTTTTACTTCTTTGACCTCTTCCTTCTTTTCTTCTTTTTCCTCCTTTTTTACTTCTTTGACCTCTTCCTTTGTCTCTTCCTTTTTCTCGTCCGCCACAGGAATTATCACTTCAGATTCGATTTTCTTCTTTTTCTTCACAACTGAAACACTAATACCACAATTAATTACAACGGAAGTTGAACTGCAAAAAAATACTGAATAAAAAAATAAAAAGAAAGGAAAAATAGAGTATATTGGTCAGCAGTAAAGAGTTACGAAATAAAACGATTGAAAAAATATTGCATATAAAGTAAAGGTAACATTATCTTCGTCCAAATAGTAATCACTATCCAGGGAAAATTGAAAAAGCGAACCTTTTTTCTTTGGTTTTCCATCAGCACTCTTCTTTGGAGATGTACTTTCGGCATCCTTCGTTTTCGTCTTTCCGTTCCTCTCCGACGTGGTAGAAGCGCTCGTCTGAAAAGCCTCCAAAATGAAAATCTTAACTAAATCCTCTCTCAACTGGAAAAATATGTATGGAGTATTGTGAGAAACACAGAGACAAAGTTCAAAACTATCTGTACCTACATATACATTGGAAGTGAGTGCAAATGTAATGGAAGGTGACGAAGTGTCACATGCGATGCCTTAGAAGCGAGTTCTATGTAGATTGATACTCGCTCAGACCAGAAAAACCCCTCTTCTCTCTAGACCGTCTGTTTTGTATCATTTCGTTATGAAGGATGAACACAACGATTAAAACATCGGCTAGTTGTCGCAACTCATAGTTCAGGCCAAATACGCATTCTAAAATGCCAAAACGGTTTGGATTAGCAATACTGAAGAAGGTTTCACATCTCGATCTGCATAGCAGCCGCCTTGGAGAACAGTTCACGATAAAATTGGTTTCTGAGGCTTTCTACTGGCTCCCAGCGTTAGGCCGTTGTTAGAANATACCACACCCACATGTGGACGTGTTTTAAAGGCCTTTTAAAAGCTGCACCAGTCATAATAGAGCGCACATGTTGAAATCTTATTTATCTAGTTTGACCTGTGGTGTGGCGACAAGGAAAGACAATTCCTGACATTATTTGCATAAGGTAGCCAGCCAGCAGTTGTACTCTACTGGAATCTAGTCTGAATATCCATTCCCAGCAACTTCTGGTGTTACAATCTCATACAATCACCTATTTTCGCAAACTCCGCAGATTTTCGCGGTCTCTTCACCATGAATGCGAATGGATATTGCAAAGTGTTGACAAGGCTGTGCAGTTGAGTGCACCGTCTTTGTATGCAAGTATTCGAGTCCCTCCTCTTTTCTTAACTTCTACGACAAGTTCCTGATGTGGATCACTTACCAGTCCGCTCTGGGAGCGTTTCTTGACGGTCGGTTTGAGTTCGTTGCGTGTTTGACTTCGTGACTGCCGTGATTGTGGCGTACTCGTACTATAACTGACATAGCTATTCAGTAACTCTTCGAATTATTTGGATATGCTTAAATAGGACCAACTGAGAAGATAATACCCAAGAAACATAGCAAGTAATTCATAGTGACGCTTCGGTATATGAAACTACTGTCTTCAAGACATGGATGAGGTAAGATTGGTACCGCTACCTCACCCTGTTTTCTGGTACCGAGTCGCAAGTCCTCTGAGCTATTTCAATCCCCATTCCCTGAGGTCAGTCAAGTGCTAATAGACTTACTATGTTGACAGCACGAATATCTACATGAGCTGACCCTAGCAAGTCATCATGTAAGCCAAATAATCACTTGGTTGGCACTACCAATACAACTGAAAACCGAATGCATGGCTCCTTTCAAGAGGGACAATAATGAACGCCATCCTATCTGTCTTCTGCGAATGACATAGAACCTACTTAATAGGCGATGAGCTGCGGAATTGGTTTATAAACGTCGTCGTGGTGTTACCATACTTCAGAGGTATGAAATGATTTGATGAAGCAACATAATCCTAAAATACAAATTCTCTTACATTAAACATATTAACATAGTTCTAAAATGATTGTTTTGCTTACTTGTTTATCTTCGAGATCGTTGAGATGCCGGATTAGTTTGCCATTTGTGGTAAAAAGTCGTTTTGCCCCATAGGGTAAATCTATTTTCTCGCTAAAACACCAAGTTTGAACGATGTGTATGTAGACGGTTTCCGAAACTTGCCCATTCCATGAAATCGGATGGAGCGATGTAGAGGTAAAAGCTTAAGCATTAACAGGGACAGTTTGCCTTTACTTTAAGTTCTGTCAGTCCAATGGTGATTGAACATTCTGGTCCACAGCTAAGTAATTTAGCCAGCGACATCCATTGCCTCCAGTAGTGTTCATTTAATCTGACGGGAAACCGAATCTACCGAACATTCACGCTTCTTCCTTTTCCTCCCACCATCCTCACCTACGCCCCTCCATTCACTCCCCCTTCACCCACTCTAGAGCTTCAGCTTTGGCCAAAATACTCTGCCTTTGGCTCTTGTCAGTATGATTCGTTTCGCATCCGCCTGAAACTGATTCAGTCGGTGGTCTATCCGTTGCTGCTCTGATTTAATCCTTAGGCCTGAAGACACAGCGCATAGTCAAGTAGCCCCATGCGATTGCAATTTTGCCTAACAACTTTTATATCATCCTTTTTTGTCAATAGATAAAAAGAAATGGAGAAGGAGGAGGTGGTACCGTCGTATTAACGAAACCAACATACCTCAATATATTCAGAAGATGTTCCAAATCACATACGTAGCGGCGATTTACAACGAACTGCAAAGTTTTAAATATTTACTTATTGCTATTACTTTATAATCAAATAACAAAATGACCACAGCTTTTTCGAGCATCACGATTGAATGGTGATGAACTAGATGTTAAAAGCTCAATTCCCTTATTTCCCCTCGCCTACCATGTTTTCAGGAACAGAATGATGTGTCCTGAGGGTAGGTCTAACTTTGGGAAGGAGAGAGCACGAATAAAATTATAGAATTAGGGCGTCTCCAGAGGGAAGAGCAGTTGTTGAAGAGTTGTCTGTAATCTTCCAAAAATGTGGCTCTGAATCATGTTTGGAATCGTCTAGAGCATTGAAATGTTCTAGAGTATGCTTGAAATCAGAACAATTGAAGAAATCTAAAGGGATAATGACCGTAGTGGTGCCTCCTGACCCATACCGCAATGTCAAGTGATAGAAATTTGATCAAACTACCGTAGACCAAAATGCTCTTCTCCCCCATTCGAAAAGTAAATTCACTTAAAAACATCTTTCTTTTCAATAAAATTGGAGTCACCTTAGTTCCAGAATGATATGGATCACCATTTTCTTCTCCCCCATTCGAAAAGTAAATTCACTTAAAAACATCTTTCTTTTCAATAAAATTGGAGTCACCTTAGTTCCAGAATGATATGGATCACCATTTTTGAAAACTCTTATAGTTTTTACGCCATAGTTCGACGAAGATAGCGACGAAACTCCGGATGAGTACGAATTCGACAGGGAGGTCTCAATTGGTCGTCGGTTACTGCTGCTGCTACTGCGTTCCTTTGTCATTTTTGAGACCTGAAAAGTGGCATTTTCGGGTGCATTTTCGATTTCATGACCAACGGAGACCAAGCAAAACCATCAAATGGCAGTTCATAAATATGAAAATTATGGTCCTCTTCAAGTTCCTCTATTAGGTTTGGGAACAGATGGCATAAGAACGGTGTGTGGACGACAATACAAAGGGAGGTCTCAATTGGTGAGACCTGGAAAAGTGGCATTTTCGGGTACCATTTCGATTTTGTGAACAACGGAGACCAAGCAAGACCATCAAATGGCAGGTCATAAGTATGAAAAGCATGGTCCTCTTGAAGCTCCTCCAACAGGTTTGGGAAAAGATGGCATAAGAACGATGTGTTGGACGACAATACAAGGCTGAACCCTTACTGATAGGTTGATCTTGAAGGGTTGAACACAGGAAGGCAGGCAAACCCCTAATCCAAGTTGCCATCCTGAGGGATTACGGGATTACCACAATATCGAGGAAAGTAGATTGACGTTACCAACCCTTACTCAATACAGTCGCACATGCCGCACCTAGTTCGGTTTCAAAGCATGACCCCGGATTTTTACGAGATGGCCGGAAAGCGCAGTCAAAGAGCATGAACACTGGTATGGTATGATAAGCATCTTCGGAAATTCTCAAGGGTCTTCGTAGGAAATTGTATTATCGCACGAAATATTACGTGACATAAAGCAAT